CATCCGCAGAACTCAGCAGTAGACGATTAAAATCGATTGTCCCCGTTTTTTTCTTTAAACATCGACCAAGGACCAGTTAAGGGTTAAGAGTTTAGGCTGCCGTTTTCACAGTTCAAGAGGATGAGGGCATTTCCTAATCAGGGGACTTAATATACCACTTTTCCGATCTCCGTTTGCTCGAGCGTGCAGTCGATTTAGTTTCCACACGGAGCAAGGGAACTCCAACACACGAGCCTCATTTGGGTGTCAGGTAAGCCAAATCTATTCGAATCCATTAAATTACCATTACGATTTTCTAATAAAATTTGAAACTGCATCCGACTTTCTGAATGCCAGTTTCATGACGCTTCGCTGATGAAAGTGCCCGAATGTTTCACAAAGGATGCATTAAAAACGCGCGTGACTCTCCATGCCTATTTCTCGAGTGCAAAGGTGCCACATTTCTGATCGGTTGGCTCATCCGTCTGCAGGGAATGAGACGATACAGAACTTCGAGACCGAGACCACGGGTATTGTTCGAAACTCGGCTCGAATCACTTTCAACTAGCACAGTGGTTTGCAGGTAGCTTAGGTGGGACGCGATCGGTGCGGTTGAATCCATCGATGAATCGTGACGACCGATGGAAGAAAGCTTTGCTCTGACTGCTCGCACTCAGAATAATGGTCGTTCCATCCCCTCCGTATCGGCAGATCCATCTTTCGAGACCTGAACTGAAGACGGGGAAACGAGAAAAGTTTTATTTACGCTTCCTGCTGGAATGGGACACTCGATGCTGATGTTTTTCACCGTGACGGCGAGGAAACGGAACTTTTTGATCAAATATCCTGTCGCGCAGACGAATCTGCCACCCAGCACGTTCTGCAACAAAAAAATAGAGATCTCATATTTCCTAGCATAGTTTCTCGAGAGTTTGCTAAAATTGTAACAGCATCTCCCTTTAGCGTCTTCCTTAAGAAAATTTATTCAGCTTTCCACTGGTGTCAACAGATTTCCAATCTATGTCCAGTAGTCTTCATACTGTAATTACCGAAAGGGTATGAGAGGTAGCGCTTGGAATGTGTACCCTTCAACACGTTGTCAGGCGACATGCGTGCTTTCAGTGATTTTCACGGTCTAGACCTCGGGCCCAGGCAAAGGATTTTCTCCTTCAATTCTTCTGCCCCAGCAGATAACGGTTTGCTTTTTTTTTTAGACAGACTTGTCCGGGGAGAAGAAGGTGGGTGGTGGGATTCACCTCGCCACAACACATTCAAAAACTATTGATCACCTGGAACTTTCTCCTCTGATGGTTTTAAAAGGAAACTTCATCGTTAATTGACATTGATCAGTTTCTGATGCATGGAGATCGTGTAAGGGAACAGGTGCAATTAATCATGTATAGTTTGTCGGCAGGACATGCTGATAATTCCGGCACGATAGACGCGTTGCCAAATTAATGGTTTTCAAGCATGAAACATGATTTATTGTGTTTAAGCCCGTCCCAACAGACTTGAATTCAAAAACTCTGAAAGACCCAAGTACTTGACTTCTCGAATGCTCGAGGAACTGGGATGTGAGGTGTAACAGATCTCCAAAGGTTTTTTTCGGTCCATCCTGTAATAGGGTGCCAATAGTTTCCTTCCTGAAATGAAGGCAAGCAAAAAAAATGGAAAGGTATTTTGAGATCTTCTCCCTCGTCATCGAAGCACTGCGGTACTTTACGATGAGCACCTTATAATGATGGCGATGAACACTTTTCAATACCCATATAGCTTTGTTCATGGGCATTTGGACGATATACAGTAAAAACTCGTTAACTCGGACTTTTTGGGACTGGGCAAATCGTTATCGTTTCGAGTTATCCAAAGTTCGACTTATCAGGAATTGCCTCTTCCCGTAAAAAAAAAAAAAAATTAATCGCGTTAACCACGTTTTAATTCATGTCTAGGGAAACTTTGATTCATTCATCACAATGCCGGCTGTTCCGCAACTGGAGGGGCCTCGGAGATAAGGCAGGGGGCTAATTCCTAGGTTTGAACAGGTTTCTTGCCTTTCACCTATTCAACAAATCGATAGGTCCCACAATAAGTTTTCCCCTCTTCACACCCCGATTTCGAGTCAACCATGAGAAAATCCTAATCGGGAGTGAAAATGTCGTTCGAGATATCTGGAAATTCGAGAGAAGCAAATTCGAGTTGAACGGAATATTTAATATGGTGTCTGACGGGATTCGGCCGGGACCAAGCATTGAACTTCGAGATGAGCGGAATATCGACTCATCAGGATTCGAGTTAACGAGTTTTTACTGTAGTTTTATTAATCATAGGACGCACCGAGAAGTTCGACGCACTGGTTTCATCAGTCATTTTCCCAGGTATTCGCTCGGATGGCGTCTTCACCATCTGGTCATCGAGGGTCGCCTCGGCGATTCACCGTGACCCGCGGCCTAACGGGGGATGACAGTCGGAGACCCCCCACGCCCCACGGGTCGAGAGGAGATGGCAGTCGGAGACCACCCACGCCCCACGGGTCGAGAAGGGTTGACAGTTGCGGCCATCCTCGCTCCATCACCCCAAGACCAGAGTCATATCATGTTCTCATCCGAAGTGTGCACAGTTTCAGATTTCCATCGAAAGCAGGTCAATAGTTTGGGGTTACCCTTATGTTTTCTGAGCTTTCTTCTTGCCTGCCACTCAAAAAAGACTCGTTATGCAGGGGGATTTTCTTCCCGTCGTACCGTAATCTATATCTGTGGCCGTCGACTAAGTTGAAGAGAAAGAGAAAAGAGAATTCGAAATTAAATTCATACATTTTTGATCGATTTGGAGGTTCCGTCTTTTTTTATGCCGATTGTCAGCGATGTTTCACGATGTAATCTGCATTTAAAAATTTAATGGGATGTGGACAAGGAAAAGATTTGAGTGTCTGCGTGAGACTGCTTCGAAAACTTGGATCGGTGTGATTGCTTCTCCTTCGTCCTCATAGAACCGTGAGAAGTGCGATTTGGACGAACGGTATCGAACGGTTCCTTCTGTTCGAAGTTTCCTCTTCAAACTTTTTCATCCAGTCGCGAATTACGGACGATGCGATCTAACCTCTCTTTCGTACGCATCAAAGGAGTGAAAATGAGATTCCGCGGAGAAAATTTAGCTGATGGCTTCTTGACTGACGGTGAATATACGAAATTAAAGGGAGAGACAAGGTTCATCCCATTTACCCTCGTACTTTTCTCTCTCCTTTCTTCCCCTCATTTGCCTAATTGCGAGGCGGGGTTAATTTTTGAAAGGAAGGAGAGAAAAAGTGAATTTCCTCCCGTTCCGTCATGGACCCATGACGTGGTGCATGCTGGCATTTGGCTTATGTGGTGCAAAAACCTCGTTGCGTTAATGAGGTTCCAACCCTTGTGGGCCTTGCGCTTCCCCATCCCAGCACGAAGCCAGCGAAGCAGACGAACGTCAAAATGTCCGAGGCAAAAATTGATTCACTGACCCTTCTATCGAGTAAAATCCATGCATGCTGTCATTCTATCCCAGCTTGTCAGCCTCTCTAGTTATTTATTCTCTCCTATTTTTTCCTGGAAAACCGCTCTTCCTGACACCTCTCTCTCTCTCTCTTTTTTTTCTCTCTCTCTCTTTCAATCTTTTTTTTTTATCTTTCTCTCTCTCTCTCCCTCTCTCACTGCTTTGAATTTCTGTCAAATCGTGGTTCTTTTCCATCTCTGTCGGTCATTGGAAATGCAGAAACGAATCCCAACTGGATGGTCCAGAGCGTCATAGATTCGCTGGACCGACAAGAAAAAATGAAACCTTTCTAAAACCTCTTTCCTGGTAATCTTCCCGTCCAGGCAAGACATTCATCCGATGGAAGAGCCGCAAGAATTTGAATGAAAGGGCCATTTGGGTTCTAACCCATCAATCACGTTCTTTCTCACATGATTCTTCGGGCATATTTACTACAAAAAAAAACTAGATTGAGTTTCTCAAGTCCCCCTAGCGCCACCTGTTCAGTCAGTTCCCGGGAAGCTACTGCTGCAATCGCGGACGACTCTTGACAAGTAATGCTGAATCTAGAGTCTAGTCAGGTCTGTCCAGGCTCAGAAGAAATTACTCTGAATCTGTAAGCTCCGGAGAAAATGAAACTTCCCTTGTCCGGCTTGGTTTCGCTTTCCGCTTCAGATGGCGTTTCCCTCGGTTTCCTTGAAGTTTCATAAAATCATTATTCATTGTGCCGCAAGGATTAAACAAGCACCAAATTGAAAAGATTGGCATTTTAGAGACATTTTTGTTTCGAATCTCGAAACAATGTTGATAACCATTGCGGCAAAAATTTGTTACTAAGTCCGACAATCGATTTAATCCAATATGCTGTTAAATTATTCTGAGACCAAATTCGGAATTTATCTATCATCCTTTTTTTTCCTCCAAGAAAAGATAAATCGGTCGTGCTTTTGCTAATGTCTTAATCTACTGACGGATGAAAGGCCCCGATTGGAAATCGATACGAGCCTGAATGAAACTAGACCGATGCGGAGATACATGTATGCATCGTCCGTAACCTTGGGAATATGACAATGTGTATGTGCAGTGTTATTAATTTAAAGGTTAACCCAAAAAGGGTAATAAAAACTTTTTTGTGTTTTCGCACTCAGGCGTTTCGGGAAACGGAAAGCACGAGACAAATGGAAGACAGGGCTTTCACAGGTTTCACGAAATGGGGATTCTTCTGGGTTCTTGCTCAACCCTGACAGACTCCGACCGTCATTCCCATTCTCAGGAAGAAAATGGAAAGGAGATGAGAGAGAATTCTCGAGGAATGCGAGACCGGCACCACTCGAGAAGACTCATCTCGTCGCCTTGTATTTGTAATCCGCTCAGAGCTGAGCATCGGCTCGGATTTTTCAGGGGAATCGTACACCGCTTCTACCTCGTGAGATCGTCAAGAGTTTCCATGGTATTGCTCTCGGATTCGGCAGCGACGCATTTCCGAAAGTGTTTCACGAGTTTTTCTTTTATTATCTGGTAGCAGAGGAACACGAGAGAAGCAATTAGGAGCAAAATGGAAGGAGGAAAAGGGAATCCTAGGGTCATTTCGAGCTCCTTATCTTTAGACGGATGGAAAAGGATTTGGAGGTATGGCAGGGTCTTACATATTATTTATGACAGTAGCGCTGTTGAGAATGGAAATGCATCGGGCTCTTGGGATCGTGCGAACTCCTATCGTACCCGGAACGACTCGATAGAGAGGTTTCGTCGAGAACCCTGTATATCTAGAAATATGGGCTGTGTCGAGGAGGAATCCCGATCGACCTGCGCATCCTCCTTCCGAGATGCATTTCGAGCTTCCAATCCGAGTTAATGAATGAATCATGGGATGGAGGTCTCAGACTCGGACGACTTTAATTTAAATTTAAATGATTCAAAATACGGACGATGGAGGCGGATGAAGATGGCGAACTTAGAAGCAGGATCGGAAATGGAATCGATCGAGATGAAAGATGTCGGAAGCGATGGCGAAAGGTTGGAATCCGCCAGAAAAGGAATTTCCGCAGTCGTATCCCTTGATGATTCCTTCCACTCGTCTCTTCGCCTCGAACAACCAGAGCGCGTCGCAGTCGCACGTCAGTGGGTTCCCTGCAACGCAACACAACCCATCAGCGTTCGATCGATCGGTACAAGTACGAATCCGATCCGACCGGTGCAGCACTCGTCCGGTATAGATTTTTCCCCCCAAAGATTTCCTCTCCCCTTCTCCCCTTTCGTAGCCTTCGACCTGCATGACCCGAGAATTTATCATCGGAAGGGAGAAAAACGGACCATAAATCCGTGACCGGAAAGGAGAATGAGGAAATGGGGAATACAGGAGGGAGGGCGAGAAAAAAAAGCGAAAACAGCCGAATGGACGTGTGAGGTTCTGGGTCTGTCTATATCCTCTTGGGAAATCCAAAATCTCTATGGTACTAAAAAAAAAAATGGCTCTCATCGAACCTCTCATGGTTGACTGATTCCCGTCCGATATTTTCTTTTTTTTCGTGGCTAGACGACACCTGATCTCAACACTTCGTCACGTTCCGTCGTAATTTTTTTTTAGAGATGGAAGATGATCTTACGTGATACGTCGACGAAATAGGTTTTCCCACTCGCATTCCCACGGGAGTTCAGCGAGGCCATCTTGAGAAGTAACGGTAGCCAGATTTCTTGATCCAGCATTTCCAAGGAATTGTCCTGCAGGTTGATTTGACGGGGTATTCCGAATCCTGGGGGCGAGAACGAGATCGACGGATGAGAACTTTCCCTCTTCCTCCGTATTCGTCGAAGGACGCCGAACGAGGTTCGAAAGGGAAACGGTAAGCATCTGCAGCTCTCCTTTTCCCCATTCGTTCCAATTATGAGTCTGCCGCTTTTTAAAGCCGGCCGAGAGGAGAGAAGCAGCAGGTCAATATGCAATCAACGCGAGTTCGCCGAGTCCTTCCTGCAGTTACGGCGCCTTCCTCGAGAGGAAACTCGCATCGGCCTAGACTTTCCTCTTTCGTTTCGAGAGTCGGTTCGACGAGGACGACATTAGGGTAACCGAACGTCGGGAGCCGTCATCGCAGGGTCGTGTGCCGCTCCAAGAAAGACAGACAGAAATCATTTATCAGCTGGTTATTTCCAGGGGAATTCCTCCCGTCCCATCAATTTTCTTTCCTTCCGCGTTACACTCCTTAATGGAAGAAAAGTTCTTTTACAGAAAGGGAACTCGAGGAAGAAACGAGAGATGTTCGGAGCCTAGAAAGAGGAAGAGCGAGCTGCATTGATCCCTTCCAATCATAGCTCCCAGCCTCCTCATGAATAATACATTAATTATGCAAGATAGATCGACACTTCATCAGGTATTCAAACTCGTAGTTGAATGACTTCTATCCTCCTCCCAACCTTTCTCTCGTCTCCGACCCAGACTCCGACCGTGGGTCATTGTATGAGATCCAAATGAATTCCTTCTCTCGGCAATATTGAGCTTCTTCATTCCCTCCCCTCGTTCTCGTAAACAACTTCTAACGATCGTCTTCTCGAGACACGAGACAAGGACTCACCGAAGCTGTCTGCCTCTATTTTCTTGATGAAGTTATTCTGTAATGCGACCAAAGCTGGCTCGCCTTGGAAGCTGAGGGAGCGAGTACTTAGTTCTTTGATCCGATTGTTATGGAGCGTCACGGCGTTCAAGTTGGGAATCCTTTCGAAGGGACCTTCTCCGATTTTCTCGATCGTGTTGTTGTGGAGGAGAATATCGACCAAGTTGTGCATTCCCCGGAACGCCCCATCCGGAATCTCTTCCAAGCGATTGTCGTAGGCCACGAAATACTTGAGATTCCGAAACCTCGCAAGTTCTCGGAAGGGGAAGCCGACGAGGGCGTTACTGAAGAGGACGAGACTGATCGGATCGGCCAGGGGTCCAAAAGCCCCCGGAGCGATGTGCTGAAGGCGGAAGTTGTTCGTGATGAAATATTCCAGGGCGCGATGAGCCCCAAATGCGTTTCGAGGCAAGTGATCCAGCAGGGAATTGTCGATGGTGATCTTCTGGAAGAGTGTCCCCTTTGAGTTTTTCAGACCCGGAATGGAAAGCAGTTCTTGAGCCGAGTTCACCTCCGAGCAATCCAGGGAGGATAAAGAATCCGGAGTCGGCCCTCCAATACACACGCACGGATCCAAATCGGGAAGACAACCCGGTGGAAGCGGAGTCGTCGTGGGAGGATCCACGGTTTCCCCGGCCCCCGAACTTCCCGGTCCGCTTCCAGTTCCGGTGCCAGCCCCTATCGCAGCCACAGGCAGTGGGGCAAACGGCGTCCAATCCACGGGCAACGGCCTCAAAGTCGTCGTCGTCGTTGTCGTCGTGGTCGTCGTCGTCGTCGTTGCTGCTGGCGTCGATGGCGTCGGGGGCTCGGAAGCAATCGAAGCTGCAGGTGGGTCGGTCACCGGGTCGGTGGGGGAAGGAGGAGGAAGTGAAGGAGGAGGTGAAGGAGAAGGTGAAGGAGGAGGTGAAGAAGGATCGGCGGAAGGGTCTGGCAAAGGAACAGGCGTTGTTGGATTCTTCTTCTTCTTCGCCGCCCCCTTCGTCTTGTTTTTCATCACCCCATCCACGGAGACGAGTAGAAGTCCGAAGACGAGAAGCACTAACACATCCTTCCACATGGTTCTGAACTCGAAGGGAAACGCTTGGGATCGAGACGCTTCTCCGACTGGTTTCTCTTTTATACTCCGGGGTACGTCATCAAGGCGATCCACCTTCATTCCCAAGATCATCGAAGAGCATCAGTCCTTCCATCTTTTCTTGCCTTGTTCTTCCCCTTCTCTCTTCTCTCATCCCTGGCGTCCTCGATCGCATCCGTCGCTTTTATTCCCCTTTGAGGTCAATGGTAATGAGTCTCAGTTTCCAGCTCTCCATTTCCTTTTCTTTTTTTTTTCTCGATCGAGTCTTCGCGAAACACGTAATTTTTCGGGGTTCGAGTTCAAAACCATGAAATAAAATAAAAGTTCGGGGATAAAAATAAAAAGTTCGAATCCCCGAACTTTTTCTTTTTGGTTTATAATCATTAAATGAAATTACTGCATGGACTGTGCTCAGAGCGTTGGATTGCCGGAATCAACAGGACGACAGCAGGAGACTGTGAATTGCTTTCATGAAAATATTCTCTCGCGATTTCGCATGGTGTTGTCGGATGGTTGTGGCAGGGACTGAGGTTCAGCGACTTGTGAGGAAGAAAAATATCTCCCTCAGCTCCCGCCTTCCCAAACGGTAACAAGAATGGGCAAAACAATGAGGATCTCATGTCACGACTACGTCGATGTAGCTCCATCAACCGGATTGACCATTCGCATGCTTATCGTTACATCTGTCTCGGTCATGAATTAGCCGCTAGCGGGAACTTGAGTACTCTGCAGAAGTAAGTCGTGTTTCTTCCTACTGGCCGAGAATGCCATCAACAGCTCACTCCATTAGCGATCGCTCCAAGTGAGAAACTCGTGAGATTCCCATTTGAATTCCACTTTAATGCATTCACTGCCAGGAATTTAAATGAATGAAAAGTGTCATAATACCTTCCGTAATGTTTAAGGATGTGGTATCTGTATGCAACCATTGTAGGTTAGGAGATATTTGAATGACATCTCTTGAAGAAATAAGTAACTATTAGGAAGACGGCGTGAAAACGGCTAATAGTCGTGCATGGCCCTGGCGAAACAGATTCGAGAAAACGGCTATTGCCGTATATGGCAACAAATGTGTTAACAATGCGCCCTTCATGTTACTGTAGGTCGCCACTGTCGCAACCGGAATGGAGAGAGAGATCGAGAGTCTCCTGACCAGGAAATGCGCCTCATCCGGGAAAGTGTGGAAAGAAAAAAAAACTAGAAAAACAGGATCGGATCGAAGGACGCATTTCAGGAATGGTTAAGGCAGACGATTCTCAGCTACATCTCACACACCAGCGGCATCAGCAGCAGTTATACCGTTTTATCATTCCAGGCGGGAACACAGTTTTAGGTTGGGGCGTGCTTACTCACACCAAAGTGAAGCGGTCGCTTCACTTTCGTTAGGGGTGGTGGATATCTGAATCAAAGGGGATCCACGAAATAGACGTTTCACAGCGCGCCAATTGTAACTTGCATAGGCTCGAAGAACTCGCAAGGACGACGTATTTCGTGGAACAGTTGAGGATGGCTGCAGGTTTATGCAACAGCTGCAAAAATTGAGTTCTCTGGAAAATGGGGTTTAAATGCTCATACGCAGCCTTTTTTCCACATCCCTGTTCATGCACTGCTTTAGGCTACTTGCATTAGGATAGAGTGACCTAAAGGTGGTTGAGATGTGAATGTAGCAAGGGAGAAGCTGTTCAGTTCAACTGGATCCAATTCTGTCTTGTTTCCAGCTGGAAATTTCCAGTTGGAATTTTATACAGAGGACCCTCCAGCTGGAATACAGTTGAATTTCTGTTGATTCAGTTCAGCCTCTATAGATTGACCGACAAGAATAGCCAACAAAAAAATCCTTATTCTACCAGTGATATTGCAACTAGGAACCAATCTGGATCTGACTTAATTTTCCACCTGATACCCAGTTGGAATGGGTCCGAATTTGGAAATTATAGCTGTTTTCAGTCGGAATTTTAAGCTGGGCTCCGCATGAAATGAAAGCTTTCGCGGCACGCTCTGGTAGGCAGCGCACGGGACACAATGACAGTCACATGACCCATGACGGGACCCGGACGAGCCAAAGTCCTGCAATGTCTATCGACCCATACAACTGAGTACTCAGCAATCACCAACTCCCATCCCCTCTCCTACCCCTCTGCGGATCCGCACTTGTGTGCGACTAGTGAGGCAGTACGAAGAGGAGTTGTGATGGTGATGGTGATGGGAGGGGGGGGGGGTTGTCTTGCTTCAGGTGTCTGAAAACTTCTGTACGCCACTTGTTGCAGGTACTCGATGGCTGCAGGGCAAAGGGTGATGAAGACGAGGAAGGGAACCCGACTCGGAATTTGATGGGCCTTGAAAGGAGGAAGGAAGAAAGGAAGGAAGAAAGAGGAAGCTAGGTTTCCTGTAACTTGACAAATGAGCTTGCTTCTCGCCACGACCCACCCCCTCAATACAAAAGAGCAAAGGAAGCTGGTGCCCGACTCCTTCCCCCTCTCTCTCTTGCTTCTTCGGCCTTGCAAGATGCACGAGCCAAAAGTCTTCTTTCTTCCTTTTTTTCCCTTTCCCCTGGGCCCATTAAGATAAGCCATAGAGCAGACCCCGGGTACGAAAGGGGACAGTATACTGCAATGCATGGCATTACGCCTGGACATCCCTTTTCTATAGAAACCTCGACGTGAGGAGAGATACAGCTGAGTATACTGTATACACAGATCTTCTTACAAGGAGAGAGTCTTTCTCATTCCCATGGAAATCCTCTTTCTGCTTCCTCATCCTGCATTCATGGCTGCCTCTCTCCCTTACCCTTACACATTTCATTCCCTGTCTTCTTTTCATAAATACTCTTCTCTGTGGAAAGAAGACCGGTGTGAAACCAGGAGGAAAGACGAACCCCACTTTCAATGAAGAGCATAAGACATGTCAAGTGGAAATTGAGACCTCCCGACGAGGGACACGAGTTTCCCATCTCTTCCTCTTCATACATTCATGTCCCTCGAGATGTGGAGGAGATAGGGAACCTTTCCTCAGGGCACTTTTTTTTATCGACGATATTTGAAGGGAATAAGGGACTCATATCGCATAAGAGAAGTGCCGAGAGGAAGCGGAGAAAGTGAAAATGAGAGAGTGAGGGATTTCGTGAGGAGCATATCCTTCCCCTTTCCTCCTCGTCACCCAAAACTCTTCTCCCTTCATTCTATCCAATGAAATGTGAGAGGGAATGAAGAAACCAGAAGCACTTGGGGAAAATGCAATCGCAGATCCAGACCTATACTCACAGCTGGGGACCGATCTGTTGGTGTTTCAACATGGATACATAATACGTATTTCCATGGAAGTAGAGATTGTCGTCTATGGAAGAGGGACACGGGACCTGCCTTTCCCATTCCCTCTCGGGGGATATATGGAGCGGAATGAGGAGGAAGAATAATGCCATTTTCGTAATAAGGACGAGGAAAGCCCTGCAGGGCATTCTGATTACATGCAGAGCGGAATGCATGGCTGAGGCAGAAATCTCTTCATCTCGTGCTAGCCTCATTTCCCCTAACGAGGTATGGAGCAACCACTGCCCATGTATTCTTGCTTCATGAAAACAACCACGAAATTACTGTCCAGCCCTTGCACCAGCGCGGGAAAAAAAAAAAGAAAGCCGCCGGAAAAACTGACAGCAGGGGTTATGAGAGCAGCGTTATCCTAGAAAACGCCTCATCCCGGCTTCCGAATATCCTCCGGCAATCACTCCTCTTCTGCCTCCTACGTATGAGAGATCGATAGAAACTATCCGTTATACTTATGCCAAGGATGGGAAGGAGATACGACAAGGCTCGAAAGGAAAATCGTTTTGCTTCCCTTCAAGCTCTCCTGTTTCCCCAGGAGAACGAAAAATTTCGAGGGGAAAATCTCTTCCGGAGCTTGCTTTTACATTTTGCATTCGGGAAAATCCCCTCATGCATTTTTTGTCCTTTCTTTGCATTGCATGGATGGGAGAGGGAGGGAACGGAAGGAAATGAGAAGAATGGAAGGGGAATGTGATTTTCCTTCTCATTGCCTTAGCCCTTTGTTCGAAGCCCACTGGTCCTGGGATTGGCACGAAGCCAATCGAGAGACAGGCTCTCTGCAAGTCTTCATCGTGTCAAGTCTTCCTCATAATCTCTCTCATAATCCGATATCATTCTCGCCCCTTATTATGAGACGACCACCGTATAACCTTCGGTTGAGATGGCGCAGATTTCTAGCGTAGATGCAACCCCGGATAGATATGAATGGATCTCTGGGATGAATTTGTCCTGGCTGTCTGCGGCAATAGTATCCCCGATCGATTCAGAAGGGGAATCCAATTAACGGAAAGCCTTGAATTCAAAGACGTTCTCTTCTCTCTCAGGCCCATCTTCCCTCCCCTTTGTCGATCAATGCTTCCTTTTCTTTTACGGAAGACTTTTGCGCGCTGGCCGTAAGGAATTGAAAGAACCAGCATATAAAATAGACTCCTGTTAAGCTTATATTTTTTTGCATGGATGATGAATTATAGAGGAAAAGAAGAGAGGATAAAGAGGATGAGCAAGTCCAGGTGCTTTAGGTATGAGGTAATCTTCCTCGCCCCGGATCCTCCTAGATAGAGAAAGAAGTGGATGAAGAGGGAAATGGTGCATATTTTATGGGAAGGGGCATCTCGGCTTACTCGGGTTGGAGAATATCGGCGGAGCCTTTTTCTCGCCGAGGTCGGGGCTCGGCATGAAAACGCGTAGATGAACGGAGGTACTCTGGAAGTAAACGGGATAGATGGAAGCCGTGCATTTCAAACCGATCCCCCCTTGGTCGTCTAGATCCTTGGATTCCACTTGGAAACGGAGACCTTGGACGGATACGAACAGCCCCTCTTCGACCTCGACCGGGGGATACCTGATCACTCCGGATCTATCGGCCTTCGGAAAAGAAAAAGAAGCCATCGATAGTATAGAATCCGTTTAGAAACCCTAGCGCCCACTCACCCATCTCTCGGGGTTTAGATGTTTTTTCATCATTTCGCCCCCTCGACTCTCACCTCTATGCCATTGATAGTCCACTGAATTTGAGGAGGCGGCTTGGCTTTCCCGGAAGAACAGTTTAAATGAAGGAAATCCCCCAGGAGCACTTGGGATATAATTTCTCCCTCATTTCCCACAGTAATCTCCGGCTTAGAATCTGGCAGTCCTATTCATAGAAAAATGACAAGGGGGATCAAGGGAAAAGATGATGAGATTTTTTCCATTTTCCGTCTATGGAAGAGCAGTAATATTTTTAAAATTTAAGTAAACAGGACTCACGGAAGAGGGAGACATTGAGAGTGACGTCGAGGGTTTGGAAAGAAGGAGCATCGGCTGAGATCTCGCAGCGGAATCGTCCTGCTGTCTTCAATGACGTTTTCCTCAGCGTCACCCGCCAGTCGTCTGATTCTCCCAACTGCAGGGGGGACGGAGGGAAACCCTTCATCATCGCCTCCTCCATTCCCATTTCGCTCCTTTTTTTTATCTTCTTTACTTTTGGACTTGGTTTCACGGTTGCAATTCTCAGAAACAGGGTCTGGTTATTGTTGCTTCTACAAAACGAAAAGTTCTCGCAAGTTTGGAGTAATCTTTACCACAATATGTTTCCTGGAGTCAATATCTGCAAGCGAATCGGTCACTTATTTCACGAGAGTACGAGGTATACTAACGGGAATTAGCGAGATGGCTCTAGGCTTTAGCCCTTGAGAAACCTAGCACGAGGATAGCTATTTATTTATTTAGAGTTTTAAGAAGAGACGATCACTTCTGATTACCTTCTCTCGTGCGATTAAAATTCGACCCTCTCGAAAAAAAGGGTAATAGCGAGAAAGTGGCCTGCCTGCTTTTAAATTGAAACTAATAGGCCTCTGTCATTTGAGTCTCAGCACTCTGGCTAAAATGGAACGAGTGAAACAGTGAAATCAGTTATGTGTGCCGAAGATTTCAATGGATCATTTTAATTGCTTATGGGTTCCAGATGGTCAATCACCACTTGCAAGGCTTACAGATGGTTCTGCCTGTCTGGCGGGAATTCTCATCGAGTCGATACTGAGCTCATTCAGTTGTGACTCGATCTAACTGGGCTAGTCTCAGGCATGGGAAGCATAGGAGGCATGGGAGGCATAGGAGGCATTGGTATGCTCGGACATTTCACACAATCTTCTCAACGCATTGACTCATTTTTTCCAGCATGGCAGGACACAGGTTTTTAAGTGGCTTTTAAATGCCCTTCTGAGTAGTACCGCTGACAACGAGAGTGGAATATGACGAAGTGGCACAGAATGATATCCGAGTTAAAATTACCACTCTGGAATGTTCACGATTCAAGAGTTCCCAGACATTATTGAGAGAGCCATCGCAAATGGAACGCTAAAGCGTCTCCCCTACTATCATCATTTGGGTGATTCAGCATACCCACTTGCTCTAAATGTCATGGCGCCACTCGAGGATAACAGTCGTCTCACCAGACGATAAAAACTATTCCATACGTAAGTGGCATCTTCACGAAGCATAATCGAGAGGGAAAATTCAGAAGACTGATATTTTTAGATGCTAGACCAAAAAAAAAACGACAGTCATCGTGATCCCCTCTTGTGTCATTCACAACTTCATTCGCGTTTTCCCATTCTTGGTACGTACACTTGCCGCTGGACGCCTTCCAATTTAGACGCCGTGTTTGCGCAGATGACTCGATGGGAACGACTCGATCTCTGAGATCGGATCAATACCGAATGCGCCCACTATAAAGAAAAACCTAGTTTTCCTGCCGTTTGCCTCTCGGTACGGAAATAGTCTGGCTGTCTCGACTGTCTTCTGAGAATTCCCGACGGGCACAATGTATAAAACGCTCGAGTTGATCGGCATATACCGTCGATACGAGCTCAACGGTGTTTCCAGGTCTCCTCTCCGATTCGGAGCACTTCATTCTTCCCTTTTTGACAAAATGATGAACCAGGTCGACCAGGATGATGGGAATGCGGATGGAAGAATCCCACCTGTCGACCCCCATGGAACCTCGATTGGAACTTCTTGCGATGCCTGAAACGCTCCAACGAGGAAATTTCCAGCAGCATCGGAATTGCGAGTGGTGTTCTAAATGGAATGCCCGTCATCCCACGTCGAACGAGACCGAAGAGGGATTAACCGGGACTTGCCACGTTCTCCCTCCGCATGCACGACTCCCTGCGACTCCGCGGAATCGCCCACACCGATGGAATGACGACGCAATAAGCACTCCATCGGTATACAGTCATCGTCCGGCGTTAATCACGTGAGAAACAGGAGATTTAAAAATCTCTCGATACTTTTATCTGCAAAACATGATTCGTCGACTGGGTGTCATGGAAGAATCCTCAGCGTCCTATCGATAATCCTCGTGCTCCTTTCTGAGTCATGATAAGCTCTTCATTTGAAGGCAACCTCGATACCATCTCCTATGACGCATTAAGATGATGGAGTCTGATAGCCAAAAAGGAGATTCTTCCTTCCTACTGTCCCAGAGATTGAAATCACGATATCGCGAGGTGCAAAAAAGAAAGAAGAGGAAATGTTTCTATCACGGATGGATGAAGCCTACGTCTGTGCATGCGTTCACTCACGTCGACGTGGATTCCCGGTACGGGGAAGTGCTGTTTAGGAACTGGGTCCCGTGGCATGAATCGATAGAACTCGTCTTTGTCCTTGAACCACTTGACGCCGTAAAGTGTCTGTCGGGGTCCCATGGTGTATCGACACTCCAGGACGCCTTTTCTCCCCACGACCAGAGGAAAAGGTAGGAATAAACCCAACACTCTCAGCCCTTCCTCTTCCTCGTCCTCTTTCTCTTCTCTTTCTCCGTCCTTTCCCGTCTCCTTCAGTCCCATCGACACTGCGGGGGAGCAATCAGTGACCCGTATTAATTTACCCTGTAGTCGTGGGATGGAACTCTCCCAGGACCATGGTCCATGCATTCCCTTCTTCCGAGACCACGATCCATGCATCTCCTCCTGCTAGGGTTGCCACCAGTTCGTAATTAATACGGGCAGTACATATTTCAGATGCAACGTCCATACTGCAAACTGGTCCTAATATGGGCACTGTTTTGTCTACATTCTAAACTTAAGATTTTTTCTCTCAATAAAGCTTAATAGCAGCTAATATCGTTATTTTCCGTTAGTCAAAAGCAATAGGCCACACTCATAGTATCGATTGGCACCTTGGCTTGAGGTGGCTGTCGAATATTTTGAATATTTGCCCATATTTTGTTAAATTGAAAGGTGGCAACCCTACCTCCTGCGAGCATGGTCCATGCATGATCATTCGATTCACCGAGGCCCAACGCGTCTGCACCAGAGAGCTGCACCATTCATCTCCGCATCCTATGAGTGTCGACGGCGTCGCATCTGTTGCCGTCGTACTTCGACTCGTATATCGAACTCCATCGACTTACGAATGATCTTCGTCGCTCAGAATATTCCCATGGGCGTATGCATCGTTCGTGGATCTGATGGGGCCATGCGGTGACGTGTACGTTCATGTTACGGCTAAAAAAATATCTCGTAAGGTTGATTCTCGAAAGATTTGACTCGAGATCGCCTACGAAATCGTGTAGGGGCGTAGGTAGCACTATACGAAGTGGAAGCGCGGATTCAAGAGTTTTCTCGCGGCCGTTCGATCACTCGTGGACTCAAGGAAGTTATTACCCATGAGGATGCCCGTCATCCAGTTGTAAGGTTAGTACTATGATTTAGAACAGGGGTGTCAAACTCAAACCGGTCACCGGGTCGCATTCCTTACCCTGCAGATGCCTGCGGGCCGCACCCATAATATTTCACTGAAATTTGTGCTGACACTCAATCAAAGGGGAAATTTTCAGAAACAGACGGCGGGCCGGATGAACCACCTCCGCGGGCCGGATCCGGCCCGCGGGCCGTATGTTTAATGACATTTCACTGAAATTTGTGCTGACACTCAATCCAAGGGGAAAATTTCAGAAACAGACGGCGGGCCGGATGAACCACCTCCGCGGGCCGGATCCGGCCCGCGGGCCGTATGTTTGACACCCCTGATTTAGAACAATTAAAACCCTTTTCTTCAATATTTAGATCGCAATTATCACGGGAGGCCGATGGTAGCTCACTCTTTGGACTTGACAGGCGATTGTGTCGCACCGGGGGCCGAAGTCGAATGACCAGTGCTGCCTCATCGACCATTCATACCACGCGAGAGGACACATGGGGATATCGTAGGCTCTTCCATTTCCAATTACATAAAATAAAAATGCAGGAACGCACCCGGAAGGAGAAGCCAGAGAAGAGGGACAATGTTCATCGCATAATTTTGGACGATTCCAAACTTTCAACTCCCATCGCCCACGTCACCGGACGTTTCAACCCCCCACGCCCATCCTCGAGGGATGAACGTGGATCACGCGCGAACAAACGAAGGTCGTATGTGTTCGGGACCCGCGAACCCAGTTCCACCGAGAAGTGACCCGAATTGGCCTAGGACTGGGCTGGATGAGGCCTTTCGAGCAGGCGCAATCGGACCGATCCACAGGGTTTCTCGTTCCCATCGCATCCTGCTAGGAAATATCCCTTCAGGTAGAAAACACGACTCCATCACATCTCGATCCCTCTTACACCGTGGGTGTTCCATATTCTCATCATCGTGATGGGATATTGGGATACATCATTTGTCCCGTCGCTTCGGGGGTTCTGGAGGAAAAGAGGAAAACCCACTGCGGTGGATGCATTCATTCGTATCGTTTTCCATAGCTCTTGGGGACTTCCCATAATGATATTAATCAGCGGTCGGATATGAGAAAGTTTCGTCGTATCGCCCGAGGAGTGTTCCAAGAGGCTACTCGAGGGACCGAGTTGCCTGAGGAATGGACGAAAATGGAGGAGAGAGAGAGATGCAAAACGCAGGAGCCGGAATTGCACGTAGACAAGTGTTAATGGATGCACACATGCATCAGCGTAACAGGGGGGATGGAGGAGACTAGAGGAGTCCTTGGTATGGTAGTCCGTGCTGGGTCTCTAATGGCATGCTGGCTAATCCATCTTCATCCATTGATTTCTCTTTTCCAGGCAAGGCCTTCTGCTTTCGTCTAGTGATCTTGGCAGATGCACACACGATCCTTCTCTTCTTCCTTCCTTCCTTTACTTTCTCTCTCGTTCCCGATACCTTTGAAGACCTTGAAAATTTCTCCCGATCCTGTCCATCCCTGATGCAAAAATGAGGAATCTGGACGAAGACTTTAAACACGATGATGCCAATCGCGATCGTTGATCACGGAAATTATCATGGCAATTATCAATAATCATTTATCAATGATTAGGAGGATGTGAATCACAGACGGTAATATAAAGTTCAGCTGGAAGGACATTCGTGTTTTTATCTCCAGATAATTTATGTGGCGCAATAGTCTTGATGGTCTCAGAATCCGTTCTGCCGAGAAGCCAGACGAAACCAGGATTCATGGGGCTGCGTTTTTCCCCTCTCTTTTCCTGGTTTCCTTCTTTTCCGATGTAATTCACAGATGCATATTGATTTGGCAACGGAGTAGTCTTAACATCGTTCCAGCTTTACTCGGTGGAAAGAGCTTGACACGACAGAGACATACTGTCTCAAGTTGCCTTTCCACGGCCTGGATTAGTGGTGGCATCTTGACGTGGAAGAAAGATACGGTCGACTCTCATTATAACGAACTCGAAGGGACAGGCTAAACAAGCCTAAAACAGCTCGTTACAAGGAAAGTTCATTTTAGAGAATTCCCCACACTTCGCATGAAAAGGAAGAGGCCCCCTAAATATTCATTGCCCCCAAAAAGGATGCAGTTGTCCTTAATGAAAATATGCGATGGTCTGAGCGCGTGTCGCATTCCAAAAGTACAGCTTCCAAGATGTGTGTATGTACATAAATGGGCGTGCATAGAAGCGTGTCCTTGTGTAGGTGTAATTTAAAAAATCAGACGAGTCACGAACACCGCGTATTCATCGGAAACAAAGTCCCAGATGGTTGTCAGCCGCGCGCATTCCTGGAGGATTCTTTGAGCCGCGGTCTGCAGAACATTCCATGCTTAAAAAGTTTCAGGCTCAACATTCGCCTATGACTGAAAAGTAGCCCCGGAGATAGTCGAAGGCTTCGATTGCCCGACCGAGCAGAAATCTAGACTCGGCTTGACCCTGATCCTTCAGATCCTGAGATTAAGACTATCTAACGTCGCTCCCTTACTCCCCACGACGACACCAATAAGTGGGTGGGACATGATAAATTTAGGTATGAGATGAGATTTACCGGGAATGCGCGAAAAAAGTAGCCCTGACGTGTGCTGCAGATTTAAACTTCATAATACGCTACAGTTTTGTCCCTCGGACAAAAAAAATGAGTTCGTAAAACCGAACAGTTCGTTATACAGAACTTCCTTTGAGAGAAACTTTCAACATGCATGTGCATGGGCTAGCGGCCAAAACATTGAAAAAAAAAAGTAATAAAGAAAATTTATTTATATAGAGGTTCGTTATATCGAGCATCGACTGTACATGGAAGCCTTTGTGGGTATTATACGATCGAATGAATATTCCTCACTGTGAACTACGATGAGAAATATACCTCCTGTTTCGTTTCGGAAGGGTAATGAACCAAACTGCCAATCGGAAGTCTCCTTATTACTTTTTAGCATAAATTACATTTAAACTCGGAAGTGGAGGGGAGATGTAGTGGTTAGGGCCGTTCCCTACGTCTATTTAGACGGTACGTCGGTAAACGGTACGTCGATTAAGGGAGTTTGAAAATCGAAAGGAAGACGCTTTGAACAAACGGCAGCTTCTTGCTGTGGACTGAATATGAAACTGACGCCCACGCTCCCATGGGATTTAACTAATTGGGAAAAAAGGAGACAGACATCTAAGAGAATCTGAGATTAGGCTGAATCTGGAGGAATAGCTTAAGGTATCCTACGAGTCATTCAATTCATGTACAACTCATGTATTGTGCTTTGGTACAGGTTGGAGCCAGAGATGGAGGAAGATGAGTTCACCTGAGACTCCTGCATGTTATCACCTCCACCCCTTAATCTTTAACTCTATCTGTCGACGGTTGCAAATTAAACACATTTTCGATGTTTAAATGGCTGAAAAATGGGTGTGCCTCCATTTGGAGGCGCATTTTCACTTGTGCGTGTTCATTCCCTCCATAAGAGGCTCACAGCACTCTTAAGGGTGTGCAGGCTCTCCTTACTATCGGATGAGTGCATGTGAGCACCGTCGGGGTATGCATGAGTCCTTTCAACTGAAAGTCTGGAGTCATCCTCATCTCGCTTTACTCACCCCTGCCGGAGGGATGACCCCCTCGGGCTAATTCTTACCGGCTCTCCGGCTCGACTACAAGGACAGGGTCGGATTAAGGTTTTAGGAGCCCTGAGGCAGAACATGCACCACCCTTGGTCCAATCTTGCGAAGGAGGGGGTAACCGAAGATGAAATCTTCTTGTCCCATTATCTCGTTTTGCATCATATCCAGAGACTGGGTTTAATCGAGGTTCCCATAGGCCCGTGCATTGTTCGCCTATTCAGTAATCTGATGAGAATTATATCTAACTGTCCTTTCGCTTTCATTAGGCAAAGCTGCTGGATATTCATGTAGAGGTAAGGTTATCGTTACCGATGTAAGATAGCACCTCAGCCGTCAACCCAGTGGGCCGCCTGTAAAGAAACTAAGCCACGCCTCTGGGATTTCTTACATAGAGTACCTGATTTTTTTTTTACCTTCTTACAGCAAAGTGTAATACAATTTCATCTTTAGATAATAATATCGCGGGGTTTCAGTCAGCCCAGGGAGAAGTCTAGCAATACTGGCCCTAAGGAAGGAAGAAGAGAGATTCAGGCTTAAAGACAAACCTACGACGTCGTCTTTGAATAAGATTGGCACTGGGTTCGCACAGAAGAAGGCAATACGAGACCATCTCCGTTGGCGTCTTATGAGATAAGACCACACGCGTAGGGGCGCATATTAGGTACACGGCTGATCACAATGGGAGAAGGTATATATATTTAAGAAGGGCCTTAATTTGCAAATGGCGGCACACTTTTCGGCACATCAAGTACTAAAATAGACCATTAAATGTTTCTTGTTTAGTATGAAGACAGTGTTATTTGAAACAAATCAGCAACACATGATTGGAATTGGAAAAATAGTAAATTAAAAGAATAGTACATTTAGGTTAGTAGATTTATATACGTGTTCTCTATAGGGGAAAGATTGCATCGCTCATGAAGGGTGCGAATGAATCTCCAATGGGTGAATATGGGATACCAGAGGTGAAGGTGACCTTAAATGGATTTCCCGAGGGAATGTATATATCGCCTGGGGGTGATACCGAAGGGCGTGTGCTGCCTATAAAGAAATTGAAGTTATCTTGAAATCTTGGAAAGAGGGTGAGGCATTTGCACCCGAGGGTGGCTATGCAACCACCAAGGGTGCTGGACACCACGGTGAGCATGCTCACCCCTAGGGTGCGGGATCTCATCTTTATTATTTGCTGAGTACACACTCTCGCATTGATACCCGACTCGGAGCAAGTGGGGGTGGAGGAGGGGGGAGCATACAGGGTGTAACGGTATACCCAGACAAAAAAAACTGCTCTCTGAAATGGTGATTCATCTTTTGAAGAAGCCGAATCGTTACTCCTAGGCTGACAGAGCTTCCATCAGCGAGCTGCATGGATTTCAGATCTATGGGACTAAAATTTCCATATAGTACTGGAGCTCAACATTGAAATTTAATGCTTAGATAATTTTTTTCTCTCCTATTCCTTTTGCATTGGATATATTTGCACCAGATTCAGAGGGTTCCAGCTTCAATGACGATATGTTAATATCTGATAAGAGGAGGGTGGTAAGCCAGGAGATTAAGAGGAGAAGTTTAAAGTTATCCCGAAGCTGCGCCGCCTTGGGGTAAGAGTATCCGCATCTGCATACAGCAGGCAAACTCATCTCATATAATGAAGACATGTGACATATCTTCATAAAAAACAACTTGATCCAGCTTTAATCTGTCACGCCTTTTCCTTCAGGTGTCTTCAGGTTTTCATCTCAGGTTGATCAGAAAATAAGAAAAATTTGACCCGAGAATTAGAAAACACGAAGGGAAATGGTTGGGCAGACCAAAATCAATGCAAGCAAGCTTACATCAAAAGGGTCTGCTTGAGA